ACTAAACATGCCAAGGGCAGTTATATATTTAAAAAAAACTAAAAAGTGCTTTATATTTCTAAGAACTCATTTCCAATACGAAAGATTGCAATTAACTAATTGGTGGAAAATTAGGAACTAAACTCTACTGTGGGTAAATATAACAAACATGGCTAATTCTTCTGGACGAACTAAAACCTACCGCTCATATGGCTTGCTATACTCTTCAAGCATTCGTATGTACGAGTCCCAGTCTTCCATGCATGCTAGTCCAATGGGCTGAAAAAATAAGTGTTGGTGCTATTTACGAATACCGTAACATATTTGTATTAGAGTTTAGAGAACACTTTAAGGGCTGTTTGAGTTAGGTAAAAGTTTTAAAATTACGTGTAGCTTGAGACAGCTGGAACAGAAGTTGAAAATAGAAGTTCTAATCTGATAACCTATAGCACAAATTAAACGTTGAAAATTCCTCCACTTAACTAATATGCACACACATAGCAAAAGCATCAAAGCAATCTACTGTTGACTATAGCAAGTCTCAAGCACTATGCTATGCCATATGAATATACCACAGCACACAGAAGCGGAAGCGAACTCACAGTACGTGGGCTAACAAGCACTATAGAGGAAGAGCTGGATGAGCCGCTGCGCACGTGCTCGAACAGTTTTGGCAGATCCTCCTTAACGAGCTGTAGTACTCGAGGACTGACGTTCAACCAGTCAACTTCATGCAACGGATTGTTCTTCTTGGCTTCTCGTCTTTGCTTCTTCCGTTTCATCAGCGGTGCTGGATCGTCGGACTCTTCAAGCTGCGACTGCCTTCGCTCGGTTATGGTGTAGAGTGGCGAGCGAAAACGCGACGTTGAGTTATATGACCTCGGCGAGGGCGAAGGATAAGAATCGCTCAGCTGCAATCGAGGTATGCCATGTATCGCAACCTCGTTCACAACCCTAGGAACTGAACAGTGGGGATAGGACAGCTCTAACGGTTGTACTGTTTTGGAAGATGAGGACAGGGGTACAGGTAGAGATTCGAAAGCAACTGGGACATCTGGCGGGGGCGAATCGCACAGGACAGCAAGCTTGGAAAGCATGAAAGGTTCCGAAATACGAAATGAAAGCGGGGGAGATAACAAAAGCGGATCGTGCGGCGTGCAAAGTTCGGGCTGCTGACGAGCAGATTCCGGAAGACTGCGATTTCTTACAGACTGCGATGTCGGTATCGTCACGTTGGATGGACATGAGCGTAACCTTCGCGAACGACGAGCTGAGAGCGCTGAAAATAATCCTGTATCAATGTAATTGC